CGAATAATAAGCAAATCCCACCCACGTGATTCCTGTAAACCTCTCTTTACTAATCTAGGTATTTTACTATTACCTTGTCTCTTAATATATGAATCAGTGTTTTTTGTCAAAAATGACTTACTTAAGGGCGGGAATATATTTTCAGCAAACGACGTTGTCTATAACTATAACACTCGACGTAGTAATCATATTCATCAGGTAACAGTATCAACACTCACTACAAAAAATTCACATATAATACATGTACATCATTTTACAACACCTTGCCAGATGACATTAAACGATTAAATTCGATACACAAGTTTAAGTCCCAAGTAAAATCTATTCTGCTGCACAACTGTTTCTATGCATTTGAGACTATATCGAGAATCCAAAAGGAAAGTAATATTAATTTTAACAATGAGATTTAATGTATTATACATAATTTGAATTGTATTATTGTAATGAAACTGTGACAAGTATTGTACACCAGCTTCAGGGTCAACGACCCCCCTCTCGAGCTGATTTTCCTTGTTTTGCTTCTAACATAAATGTAACTTGAAATTAACTTCTCTACATAGCATGTCACACACAGTTTTTAACTGTTTTATCGTAAACAAATAAGTAAATAAATAAAACAATTATTCAAATAATCGCATTTGCAAAAGAACGGTAAAATCAGAAATAATTTAGGTATTTTTAACACGGCATAGATATAAATAGCGTGTTGATACTGTAATTGAAGTATATTTTCAAATTATGTGAGTAGGCCAACCTATTTTACTACCTCAACTATCATGTTAACTTCACGTACAATGTTCTACGCGAGGGGGGTCGGGCAGGGCATTAATCCTATCCGAGCCATTCAACTGAAGTCAAGTCTTTGCAGAGCGTAGCGTAAAACGTTATGAGGCAACCATCTGACCTGTATCGTTTCAAGTGCAAAAATAATTTCAAGTGTTAAAAATTGAATTAATTCCTAACGACAGAGTGTGATGCTAAATTCCCATACAGTCATATCCTCTTCATACTTATTAGTTGGACGAAAGAAGCTCACCAACGCCTGACCGGCATACATAATATATTACATATACTTTACAATTATGCATACAGATATTTATATATTAAGATAAGAGAAACCCACTCTTCAATTTTAATGCGCTAATTTTTACTTCGAAATTTGTTAAATTTCTTTGGAAACATTTCCACAACTCCAATTCATTTTACGATACCTTTTATTAATAACCGTTAGTAATAATCCTAACACATATATCCGTTAAAGATGCTGAGTTGGGCATTGAATGATTTTTAAACATTATTTTGTATTAGTTCAGAATTATCTACAAAATATTATTTTTTAACTGCAAAAGCCATAGTCTATTATAATATTCTGGGTGCCATATCGTATCCAAAATATCAAAATAACCCTCTTAGTTTAGTCATGCTTAGAGCCACATAATATAATTATCAGGGTTTGTTTCTAGCCCACAGACAAGTCTACTGAATAGACCCGGCAATACCAGAAAATCTACAAAATAGAACTCTATGTGTCAGGTATGGATGCACATCCCCCCTCTTAGCCTTATTAACGCCTTTTCAATATAGCCAAAAAGACTTTCAAACCTCAACAAGGAAGCAAGCCTCACCAAACAAATAAGTGAGAAACAACTATTAACACTACACAAAATATTTCTATTGACATAAATAATAGCAGAAAGTAATAACCCGGCGCAGTGGGATTGTCCCATTGTACAGTGGGTTGGTTGATGATTGATTGTCAGTGCGTCAACGGCTACGTTCATAAGTCCCATAAGTGCAGTACATGTTTTACTCGTGATGTGGCTTCTGTCTTTCCCCCACTCATTGGCGAGATCCGGGGCCAACCTAGATCTCGGCTAGCATGGTTTTCCCCAACCAGGTATCTCCCACCAGCGGGGCACCGCCCCCAGACGGACAAGTTCTAAGCTCCAGACCAGTCTCCTAGCATGTGTGGTGGTAGTGTAAGTAAAGGGTGAGGATAGGATAAGGAAGAGGAAGGAAAGATCGCGTTTGTGAGGGTACTGATCTACACTTCGAAATAGATCGTTTACTCGTTCGTAGGGAAAGGCTCAAGGTCTCTGCGGTGCGTCGTGGCCCTACTGAAAGAGTTTAGGGAACTCCAAAGAAACTGCGTACTCATCTCCCGCCAGACCGACAATGGAATATGCCGCGATCTTTTGGCACTCACAGAATTATGCAACGGAAGAATTTGGAAAGGACTCGACGTAGTGTGTCAAAATTTACTTTCAGCGAGAATTATTTTTACTTAATTCTTCTTGCTCCATTTGAAGAGATAACAGGAACGAAATTCAACTAATACCTTACAGAACGAATACTGAGAAATGTTTGTTTATAAATGGAACGATAATGGATTTCAACAGTTTGTCGTATCTCTGAAGCTATTCCTGCAAATTTTCGGAACATAAAGAAACATATATAGTTGTTAAATCAATTCCTTATTCTTAATTAAGTAAACTGACACACACGATGTACTTATAAACATTGAGCAGTGTCCTGTTATAAGGCGTAGAACTGTGTGATGTAGTGCAGTGTAGGATCGTAAGAAGAATTCAAAGGTGTAAGAGCAGGGGCGGTGTAGTAAAAATGCGGTGGGGCACTTCGAATCTAGGTTAGGTATGTCACTAGTTTCATAATTACTACTGCATATAATAATAATAATAATAATAATAATAATAATAATAATAATAATAATAATAATAGTTTTAATGCACCTATTATTGTTCGAGTTAACTCGATGGACCAGAGTTCAAATCACCACGAGGATAAAAATATTTGCTGATTGAAACACTTTCGCAGGTTCATGTAGTATAATATTGCGGAGCAGGTTCATGTAGTATAATATTGCGGAACCGTTACAAATATTACGAGAAAGTACGCGCCGTTGTAGCACTACTAGTATAATGTTGTGATAGATGTAGAGCCGGGGGAGAGGGAGGTTGCTATTTTGTTACGAAAACTAAAACATAAATCTGTAGTTTGTTTCCAATACCAATAAGTTTTCTACATAACTCTGGAACGAAAATGTATAGTTTTTCAAATGTTGCTAACTTCGTTTTCTATTAACTTTTATTCATCATTGAATGAAGTGTAGTAAAATGACGAGGAAGAGATTCTGAATCTCACGAAAACGTGCACAAATTATACTTATCACACTTCTTGTCCGACAGTTTCAATTATTCAGGAAATTTACTTGGCCATATTTAACACGAACCATTTCTGGAAACCATTGCATTTATTAAAATATTATTGTATTCATACGGCGCAACGTTTCGAGGCTCACAATTTGTCTCATCATCAAGCTAAAATCAATGTATTCTATCAAATACTATACATTTTGTTATGTTACAACTTACAGAAGTTACCCAATACAACAAGACTTGTTAACTCACCTTAATGTGTAATAGGTACAATTCACAGAAGAATTAAATTCAAAAACATTATTCGTCAGTTACCAAAGGTCATAACAATTAAAATTCCAGTCGCATTCTGACAGACTGTTGGTCTCGCGTGCCAATTGTGATAAGACTGTTTTAATGCTAATAGTCAAAGAGAAACAAGGTGAGGAAGGAAAGAACATCTTGTCCAAGGATTGCCAACCCAAAAAATTTCAAACAAATTTTTTTTAAATTTATAACAACACAAAAACATCAAGAATAATATTCCTTAAAATTACTCAATACACTAACATACAGTCTAATGAAATATTAGTGAGTTGAAACAATTGGTAGTTAGACATAAGGGAATGAGGTATGGATGGTTACATACTGACTACATCAAGTGACACAAGTCTCATTGACGGATATAAACTTAATGTTTTTTTTTAAATTTTTCAATTAAATCCAAGCTATTGTGAACAAATGATCATTCCTTCCCGCTCGGTTGGATGTGTAACGGGCACTAAATTATTTGGTCACTGACACACATCCAACACGCAAGTACGCCGAATTGAAAGCTGTGGCGTGGCGAGGCGTGTGCGGAAACAAGGTAGGTAATGTAAACTATCGAAGAAAAATACAAGTAAAATATTAACAGAATCTACACGTATCCACTTTATATCTAGTGTCTCGTAATAAATTTAATATATTAAATAAAATAATTTTTAAATCGTGTGGGGGGTTCGAAAATTATTTTTTGAAAATGAACATGTGAAAAAGGTCGTATAATGAAGACACACATTTGACATTTGGCTTTGATCGGTAGGCAAATCATCTTGCGCTAATGCACAATCATTGCCGAACTGTGCATACGTATACAATCGTTGCCGAACACCACTGCAAGATAAGTTGCCTACCGATCAGGGGCAACTGTCAAATGTGTAAAGTGCATTATTATATAAGATTTGTCGTGTGTTCATTGGCAAACAATGATCTTCTTCTAACCCCCTACCCGTCTTAAAAGTGAGAACATTTATTTTGAAACTTCGGTATTTATTTGCACCATAATCTTCCATTCTGTTTTTTATGAAGTAGAAGGTAGAATTCGCGGTGAGCAAGATCCGTGACTGCAAGGAGACGAGGAATCGAAGTGACGAGCCCATGGGTAGTCACATCCCAATCTTTCTTTCCGAGCTTAATTTTCCTGAAGGAAACTGCCGGACGCCGACACAGGAAGACGGACGCCCAACTGACGGGCCCCCTTCGTGCACTTCAGTACAAAGTGATTCGTCACTGCACTTGAGTGTAGTTGTGTTACCTACAACTTTTTCAATTATGCATGTTTTGGGTTATTCCCTCAATACATTAAAAACGACGTTCTCACTACGTCTTCTCTACCTCGACGTCATCATTACGTGATAACTGTAATAAAGAACTACCACTTCGAAGAACTTCTGCCTCCGTTCTGCTGAGCACCTGCTGCAATAGGCGAATTCCACTTCGGGGAATTCGTTTAAGATGACTTATGACACGATTCGTGGCAAAGTTGAAGAAATTAGGCTCACGGCACCAAAATTTGATCGAGCTTTACATATTTCGCCGCAACACAATAATACATTTTAATTTTAAAACCTATAATGGTTATATCTGACTTAATTTACAAAAGTTACAAAATGAAATTAAAATAATACTACCAATCCCTCATTATATGAGTTATGTTTTGGTACGTTTCACTGAATTTTTAATGACTCAATAAATAACTTATGGACTTTATAAAAACTATTTATTTGTTTTTCAGTGAATATTGAAGACCTCTGAATTGTTTAGAATTAAAAGGTTTTAGTCATTCACTGTTCCACTACATTAATTTGAACAACATATTAACAGAGAAAACAGGGGTAAAACGTAAAGAATTAAAACAATGTTAAAATGGAATATTACGTCGTTTCAACAGACTTTCAGCAGCACGCTCAGAAACTTAGCGAGTATATATTGAACTCCACCACTATCGCATAGAATCGCGCTCCTGCAGTCGTACAACATCGAGAAAACACTGCGAGGTGGGGAGTCTCTCGCATGATTAGCACCCGACTCGCGGACGGCTACACGTGCCCGCGCACGAGCCGCGACGGACGACACAACACAACGCCCGCAGCACTGCCAAGAAGCCACGTCAGGGCGTGTGCCCATCCTGCGCTTCCGCCTGAGATTTACGTCAATCGCCTGCGATTCTCGCCTCGGGCCAGTCGCCGGCGGGGGAGCAGCGGGAGAGGCAGCAGAGGAGAGTCGGGGCGGGGGCGGCTGCGAGGGAAGGGGGGGGGGGCGCGTCACAGGTGGTCGCGCCGCCGTATTTTTCGGGCCCTGTTGAGGACCCGCACGTCGCACAAGCGAGCAGAGCCGCATCGCGCGGCCGCGACTCAGCTGGAAGACGTGGCGCGGGATGTCCCGGTGGGATGGTGGACAGCGTGGCGCGCGGCGCCGAGGGTCGAGGCCGGGCGCGCGGGGTGGGCACTGCGCGGCCGGGCCGCTCCGGAAGGCCCCGCGCGCCCGCCGCCACTGCCGCCGCCCACCGCGCGCCGCGCGCCCCCGCCGCCCGTCGCTCGCAGCCGCTGCCTCTGCTCGCGCCGCTGCTTCCTGCTGCTGTCTGTTGCTCCGCATACAGGCCGCAGGCGGAGCTGCGTGCGCGACGTGGGCGTGGCCGTCTTGAAGTTGGGCGGGCTGGCCACAGCCGGAGGGGCGGTGCCGACCAGGGGTCGCCAGCTCGGCGCCAGGTCCATGATCGCTGGGGTCGAGCTCCAGGATTGCGGTTGCGCTCGGCGTCGATGCCGCAGCGGCCCGTCGCCCGCGCCGGGCCTGGGCCGGGGGCCCGCGGCCCGCGCCGCCCGCGTTCGCTCCCGCCCCGCGCCGGCCCCCGCCCTCGCGCCCTCCCCGCACAATCCGCCCCCATGCGGCGCACCAGCTCCTGGAACTCGCGTATCTGCCGGCGGCGTCAGTCCGGCTTCCCATGGCACGCACGCCGCCGCACACTGCGCCTATTTCTTGCGCGCGCGCGCCTCGCCGCCGCCAGCTGGAGCCGCCCCGCCAAGCCCCTTCCCGGGCCTCGCGCCTCGCGTCCCGCCCTCTCCACCCTCCTCTCCTCTCCCCTCCCCGCCCTTACCGCGCGCCGCGTCACCCCGCCGCCGCGCCGCAGACCACCGATGCTTATTGCGGAGTTTGCACTTGGTTTTGTTCCGGCGTGAAATGGCGGCGCGGCGTCCGGCCACCCGCGCCATCTGTCTCGAGCCGCTCCCCTCTACTTCATCACTGTGTTGACGTTTTCTCGCCTCCAACCCTACTCTCGTGGAATAGGCCCGCAAAGACATTTGTGCTCTCAAAGCACGCCGCCTAAGTTCTAAGCCACTAAATTACCAAATAGATTATACCGAATCCTCTGATCACTGCCGTAAACCACGGGGATGGTAGAGAGAAATGCTTGGGAGGAAGCTTTGAAAAGAAGTGGAAAGCCGACGAAAAATAATTATACATTTTTTGTAATGCTGCACTGATATATAGACAAAACGCGACCAAACAGGGGGGGGGGGGGAAAAAAGACACTATTAACGGCCAGCTCCTGTTAAGAAATTTAATACTCCTCATTCCGCTAAGAAGAATCGAACAAATGAACAGCAGCTGAAGATTGGCTATATGTCGGGGAAACCGGGACTGGTTAGCACAAGGAGCAGGTTAGCACTGCGGTATCTACATCAACCACGTAACGTCTACAAACCCTACAGCTCTGGATCACTCGTCTTTCACAACCTATCTTCTCACAGAAACCTTAGTATACTCAGTGCAATGGTGGTGGAACCGTCATCTGAAGCGTGTTTTAGAGCTTCGAGATTACAATTTCAATATTTCATTAATTGCTGCGTGTAAAATTGGGAAGGAAAGATTATGCTTCTCTTTTTCAGCCGAAACCATGAAACAAGCTCTTGATTTTCGTGTGTCAGAGCTTTTGTGTCGAGTTCCCTTTCGGGGCCAGTTGGCACCATTTAATTGGAATTGGTTGGAAGAGCAAATCAGACCCATTCTCAGTCGACCAACCATCTTCAGAAAAAAATTATATTTTTATTCAAAAAAGTAAAAACACCAGGAGTGATCACAGATAACAATATGTTCAGATTTCTTAAAATGATTGGATACAGACTCAATGAGGGAATAAGACCTTCTTTCTGATACATCCCATGCCTAAAAGTGGCCAGTACTTATTATGATTCATTTGTTATTAATTCATTTCCAAGCCTCTATTTACTTCCAGAAGTGTCCACATACAAATTTCAAAATGTTGGGAGAGGTCAGATACTCGACTCAGTAAAGGGCAATCGATAACCTAAATCGAACCTCTGAACATTCCTGAGACAAAAAGGCCTGAGCTTATCGACCCCACCTGCGATGTGGATTGGCACATATTGATTTGATGAATTTTTACAACTGTAAAATTACGACTCAATCATTCACAAATAAAAATCTAGTTTCCATTCATGCAATTAATCTATACAAAACTAAACCAGTGTTGCGAAAAAAGAAAAGAAAAAATGAACCGAGTGGTGCCAACCAGTCCTTGTCTCCCCACACATATTCAAAGAAAATGTATTTCTTATTTTTTTCTTATCAGACTATTTACGAAAAATATTAAAAAATACACAGCCGATAACAGATAAACACATAGCCACCGTCAGCACCTCAATATACAAATTGACATCGCGCCTTTTATTTGCTCTACATCGGCCTAATCAGATTAATATCTACATCGAATGAGTTGTTTTATTAGTTGCGTCACACAGCAAGAAACGTTACGTACTTACAATAAGAAAAGACGCGAAGTACACCAGTTCTAAGCAGTCGGCAAGTTAGGCATTTCTACATTTTTTCGCTTTAAATCGTGATTAATAGGGATTTAAATCGATATCGTGAATTAATTAAAGAAAATACAATAAAGATTGGAAAGTCAATTTATTCAATCTTGAATGGTTAACTTACAGAATTCAAATTTTCCGAGAGTGCTTAATACCTTCCATTCCCATACGGGAAGTCAGCACAAAAAGAATAAGGGGGAAGAAATGTAGCAGACATGTCTACAAACCTCAGTTTAAACCATTCACAAACCAACAAATACCCTTCGTGTCGCGTCTGGCCGCGTGTTTAAAGCGTGCAATTTTTAGCCGCACGTCCTCACCGCAGGCGTCGCCACTGCCGCCGCCGCTCCGAGGCGCACGAAGACGCCCACGCCACCCGCCCGCGCCACGAACGTTTCCCCACCCGCGCAACGCTCGCTTTCAAACGTCCGCCGCCGTCTCGCATAATTCTGTCCGATGCCCTTCTGGCAAATGCAACCGATCAACCGGCCTGAGGCAGCTCAGTGACCCCAGCCTTTGCCCCCCCCCCCCGTCTCTTACAGAGAAATACTGGGGTTCGAGTTTCAGGCAGATTTTTCACACGGAGAATTCAATCACCATCTGGAAGAGAATTCAGGAGGCCGGCTGCTCTGATCGTTAGTTTTATGTGGTTTCTACCGTCAATAAAAAGCGAAAGCCGGAATGGTACACTTATAAACTGGTCAAGACTACGCGCGATCTTCCCTTCCTCATTCTTGTCCCCACCTCTCGCCTTACACATTTACGCGCACTACACTACCACATATCGGGAGATCAGATGGGAGATTGGGGCTTGTCTGGCATAGGGGAGCCCCCTACAGATACTTGGAGAGTAAAACTCCCGCGTATGTCGACGGATCTCACATTCCAGTGCAGCCCCATATACACCCTTACCCTTACATGCACTATACTACACTATCACAGATGACCCGAGAAAAATCGCGATCTTAGAGCTAGTTCCGGGTAGGGCAGTGCCCCGCTGGGGGAGATACCTGAACGAGTAACCCATAGGCATTACGTATAGTCCGGTGCCGGAGGAACGTTTCAGTCGGGGAGGAACACCGTCACCCTCCGAGATAACATATGGATATCATACGGTTTAATGACCGTAGTAGTTGACTCAGAAACACTAAATAATCAATCACACTATTCCAAAATAAAATCTACGTATTGAGCGGGTTTTTACCGAAAGGTCACGAAAGGAGTCAAATAGCTTCTTCGGTTACAAAACCAAACTGTCGGCATGAAGGGAATACAAAATCTAAGCCAAAACATCAGAAAGAGTATCAACACATATTGGTTCCAAAGCAAATTTCGAAGGCAAACTACAACAACAAATAGTTTTACCCTAGGTAAAATATATGTCGTATCATCCCCTTTACGAGAATAATGGCAACAAAGTGAGTAAAAAAGTTCTAGTTTGACCTTACTCCAGAAAGACAAAATGCACAATGGAATTACAAAAGTTCTCTGACGGCGTCGCGGCCTAATCACGCTTCGTTCGCAAAGGATTGTTACAACACATCTGTTGGCAACCGCCGCCCTAGCAACACGATGTTAATAAATTATTTACAATACAATGGAAGAAAGCTTCATAATATGCAGCGCGAGGAAGACATAGCATCTCAAATTTGGCTGTGTAGAAGAGCCACAAGGTTTGCATCCTAATTTCGATATCTATATATATGTTCTTTCTACAGAACGACAATGTTTTGAAGTAGAATAACGCATAATAAAATCCATAGATGTCTACCTGTTACACGTATTTCTTGGTGATCATTGTTTTCAATATAATATGCACACATTAGCAGTAATGATATTAAACAATGCGGAATTGAAGTATACAATCGTCAACCTTTGACACATTGCATTTATAATGATTGACCCATTATTGAAGTGATAAAGCATTATTCGGTGTTAGTTAAGCATTCATTAAAAATGGCCTTCCTTGGTCATTTTGGTTTTCTTGCGCCACATTCTCTCGTACACAGAGGCAGCCAACAAACAAAGCCATCTCGGATCTTGGCAATCATCCATGAATGAATAATGTCTTTCTTCGAACCGCTGAAATGAATACTCTCTAAATATGAGGTAAAAATAAGTTACAGCAGGAGGAAAAAGGAAGAGGAGGAGAAAGACGAGAATGAGGAAGAGGCGAAGAATGAGAAGAAAACGAAGCAGGCGTGGAAGCTTCACGTGCACGGGGGGGGGGCGACTCGGGTTTAACGATATACCACTGGTTAAACCCATTCCCAACTAATGTGTCTTACTGGGTTAACCGTGACCTGGGCTTAACTAAACTTTTACCTACAGGTTGAACAATAATGTACCAGGCACAAGACGAAAGCGATACGGCCAACCACGAATCCGTGTTTGAAGAAAGTAACAACCTGAAGACTGATTTTATTTACGACTGTTTTCCCCACGGGGCGGTCGCCAGAGACTTCGCCGGGTACAAGTGCCACGAGTGCTTACGTGCATGCCCTGCAAAGTCAATGCGTACTTTAGCGTGTGTCTGAGCGTAGGTTTTGTGTCCTAGCCGCAAGGGAACAGAAGCGCAATGCGTAGGGGCAGCGGGGATGGGAATAACCTACATGCTAGAATCGAAAACCGGATATTTGTTACGTATAACCGGAGTTCTGTATTATATTTGCCCCAGTACTAGCTGTTTTAATAACAAAATCTGGCAAAACTGGTTTAGAAAAACAAATAAATTAAGGA